GCGGCGCGGCCCCCGCGACGGTCATGGAGGCCGACCGCCCCGGGGGCGGCGCGCGGGGCAAAAGTGACGGCCGACAATTAAGGTTTGAATCGGTTAGGCTGGTTTGAATCGGTTAGGCTGATACCATGTTAAAAGGAAGAGGGAGAGAGACATTGGTGCAGAATATGATGGATGTATTATTGAGCCTCGAGGGCGAGTAGGCAAGACGCCTCTCCTGAAGATAAGGCATGAGACAAATTACAAATCCTAGACTATCAAATACATGTATTTAAATATATCTCTAAGACAGATGAATAGGTGCTCCCTTAGAAATAAATATCGTGCAGGAGTTTAAGCACAAACGGCGTCGCATCTACTGTTTGTTCCCTTTCCCATTTTACAGCAGCCGGTGAACTAAAGACAGAGTTCAGACAGGAGACTGCACGTTCAACTAGTACAAATTCGATCTGAATGAACAAGTCTACTGCTGCCCCGGTCGCAGGGACGAGAGGACGACATCCTGGAGGGCGCTGTCCTTCTGCATCGCCGCCTTGAACTCATCGAAGGTGACCTCGCCGTCGCCATTGGCGTCCATCGTGTCGAACATCTCGTCCAGCTTCCCCGGCTCCGCGATGTCCCCCGGGAGGCACTCCTCAGGCAGCGCCTACCAATCACAGCAACTTTGTGTTCAGAACAGCAATTTGATCTGGTACAGTACAGGTAGTGTGTGGTGTCTTGCCCTGCTTACCCGGAGCATCGACGCCAGCTCTTCCTTGCTGATGCAGCCCGACCGATCGGCGTCGTACATCTGAATCAGTAGTGTTTTTGGTCAGATCATCATCACAAGAACCTTCTCCAGCAGAGTCGCACTGTTTTGGAGTTTACCTGGAAGCAGAGCCGCAGCGCGTCGTCGCCCCGCGAGTTCCTCAGGCTGGAGAGCCCGCAAAGGATCTCCCTCATGTCCACGGTTCCATCACGGTTGTTGTCGAACAAATCAAATACACGAGGAGCCAGAGGGATCAGCGAGTCCATCTTCATTGCTTTCAGCACCTGCTCAAATTCTGTCAGCGTGGCATTCTCTCCGTCTGCGCATCTGCACCAGGAGCACCTTGCACATAAACTCAAGTATTCAAACTGCCGAATGAACAGACTCCAGAAACACACATCCTTTAAAAGTCGTTGTGTGCAAGTTCCTTTACTAGCTTATGACATGAGCATGGCTTGATATTATAGAAAAACATAACAATCGATTATTATCGCATTCAACACCATGCAATAACTTGCATGCATTTGTCTAGCAAAATAAACTTATTTGATGTTTAAAACAGCTTTTTGAGAGAATATGTTGAGACTTACCACATTTTGAACAATTGCTGTGTTTATACATTAGCAGAGAAATGTTGTTACCAATGTTCAAGTAATAAACAATATATTGAAGCAATGATAAGCAATATTTCAAGTAGTAATAAACAATGTTTTGAATATTGGAAAAGCCCATATAGCAGCTAACTCACATCCTTGCAAAATGTTGCCGCAGGTTATCTAGCTCTTCCGAGCTAAGGTCATGGGTTCCCAAAAGACTCCTCAGCCTTTTTGTCCTCAATGCCACTTTGCTGCTCAGGACACTGGCTATCGCTGCCGCCCTCAATTTCCTTCTAGCATTGAACCTTTGCAGTTTTGAGACGACCTCTGCATCAATGCGATCTTGCTTGGCGCAGTCTCCTATCACCCAAGGATGCATCAAGAGCTGGTTTTTCATCATAAACAGGCCCACGGTCAGCTAATGTCAAGTAAAGTGCGAAGAAGTAGAAAAGGGAGCCCGAGACAGACATCGCTTGCTGTGGGCCTTTTGTAAGGTTCAACGGAAAGAAGACTGGAAATCAAATCTTTGGCCGACGAAGTTATTGTTTTCCATGTATGCTCCTGAAAACTGAATTCACCCTGAAAGAAGCACATCAAACAAACGACATTAGGTTATGACTCTGACTAGTAGTGCAAGATTGGTGGTTTCATTGTTGAAGCAAGTAAGCAATCAGGAGTTTCGGGGACTTGATTCTTCAGAGACAAAGGTGTCAATTCCATTTTTAGTGGCTTATGAAACAATCTCCAATTAACCCCACATACATAATACCCGCCAAAAAAAAAACACATCCATAGTGGCTTGTAATTTGGGTGTCGCTCTCATGTTAGAAATTTTTTGTTTGTACGCTTAAAGGAATCTCCAGTTAGCTACTGACTTACACATCTCAAAGAAACTTGGCACATTGGAAGTTTTGAACTGGACATCAGATAAGACAAATCGAAATTCAAGTGCCAACAACTAGCAGAAGAATAAAATTCAGCAATGATTGACAGTCATGTCTCTGTACTATTCAAGGTCAATGCTCCATACCAGCTGATAGAAGGTGGACACTCATGCAACTTTGCAAAGTGAATTTAAATGCCTCACCCATAATTTATACTGGAAGAGCGTGTGCAAACCTCAATATTACATTCATGGGCACGGTGCTTCTGTTTCTTAAGTAAATGCAAAGATGCAAAGATACTCCAGGGGATACAGATTTAACTCCCTTCCAACTACACATGTGTCAACGTGATCAATCAACATTTTCATAGCTGGTTGTAGAAATACTAATAAGGTGGAAACAAGGATATATGAATCATAAGAAAATCCCAGACCAATTTGGTCACAACCGCAGAACATTTTCCCCGTATGAATCACAAAAAAGATTACAAATCAGTTTGATCACCACTGCAGAACATTTCCCATTCCCAAAAAAAGAGGACATTTTCCTCAGATGGTAGTTCAGAGGAGTACTTACTTGCAGGATCCTTTGCTGCTTTTCTTGATTAGTTGCGGCATGAAATGGTGGGCATCTGAAATATACAGATCAAAGTCTGCAAACTGCAATGACGAAATCAAACCAATGGAATTATTACAAGACAGGATGACCAACATACCCGGACAAAAGAATGTACAGAATCACCCCAACAGACCACATGTCGCTTGCAGTCGAAACCTCTTGCCGCGAGAGTGCTTCCGGCGAAACATAATCTACCGACCCAAACAGCGCCACAACCGGGTCACTGAAATCTTCTACAGAACTCAAACCGAAATCCATAATCTTCAGTGTTGAATCTTCTTTTCTGTCCGAGAAGAGGCAGTTCTCTGGCTTCAAGTCTCTGTGTATGATGTTGGCCTTGTGAAGGGCCTTCAACCCACCAGCAATCTGCCTAACAACAGCGGCCGCATCAAACTCCGAGTACCGCTCCCGCCCTATGATCCTGTCGAACAGCTCGCCACCCGAGCACAGCTCGAGGACGAGGTGCACGCCGTGGGCGTCCTCATAGACATCGTGCAGGCTGATGACGTTCGGGTGCGGCGCGACGTTCTCCACTATCCTCCTCATGACAAGTATCTCGTTGGTGAGCAGCGCGTCGGAGATGGATACTTGCTTCCACAGTGGGAGCCCACCCGAGCTCGGCGCGCCCTTTGACCCCTGCTGCATCCCCATCATCGCGGGGCCGAGCCTTCGGAGAGTCTTTATCGCGACCTGGGTCTTTCCTTCATCAGACTTGCTCACGCCTCTTCTCACTATGGAGAAACCGCCTCGGCCGAGGACATCCGCGACTTCATAGTCGTCGGACAGCCTTCTGCTTTCAGTTGTTGACATTGTGCAGCACCAAAGAGCAGCTTCAACTGGCTATTTGACCAAAGAACCTGAAACTTCAGGAAGCAAACACCGGTAAGGCCCCTAGAGCCTTAGAGGGCAGGAGCAACCGGGGCTGGCGGTGAACCGGCACGAATCGACCTGCTTCACACGAGAAATCAAAACGGTAAGCACTGTTAGCGGAAGAACAAACTGATCGTAGGTGTCTCTGGGGGGAGAAGAGAGATTGGGGAACAGCAGAGCAGGAACTGGAAACAGTAGTTGTGGAGCTGACAGGGACTTTATATATAAACATCTGCCCTGTGGCAATTATACAGAGAGCATAACGGAGGGGGTGTGGGGAGATTGTGACGGCAGAAGAAAGGGACATGTGCCAACAACCAGCAAAAGGGAATAAACTCACCAGGTACTTCCTTTCTGTGCAGAGGGCAAGATGACAAGAGCAGATCAGATAATGGTTGAGGAGATGCTAATTGTGTTGACCTGGTTGCCACTGCTCTGGGCTGGGGCTGCTACTTTGCCTTGGTCTTCACTGGGTGAGGCCAGACTTGGTTCTAGTTTACTGCGTTGCCTTGCGTTATTATTGATGGAGCTTTCTTCTTCAGCCGGTGAACACAAGAGCATATTTTGCCCATAGTTTAAAATAGCGCATAGCGGGCAGCCCTCCAAATCAGCTATAGCAGGCCGGCTATTTCATAAATTTACTGGACCTATTGCATTTAGCGGCACCGTCCTCAAACCGTTATAGCCGGCTATTTAAAACTTTGATTGTGCAACAGAACCTATTTTTTATTGCAGAGAAGAGGCCCAGTAGAGCAACTGTGTCCACTTTGCAGTTGGTCTATCTATCTGACTTGGTAGTACAGTACTTAATTACATTTTAGACTGCAATAAGGCAATTCCTAAAAGCAGTCACAACTACTGGCAATACTATATTAAACAAATGCAGATAATGAGACCAATCAAAATTGGAAAACAAAGAATGCATTGTTGATAGATACTACCATGGAGTAATTGATACCATGAGGAACAGGCAGTTTCTACTAGATGCGGTGACAATTTAGAAAGATAACCATTCCTTTAAACCTCTCATCAAGAAATCACAAGCGAAACAAAACTATAACAGCAAAACCAAATCAATCTTTCACGAATGGACCGTCTTCGAAACTTTCAGAGACAAAAAGGTTGCTACTAGGATAACAGTGGGTTCATAACTGCCGAAATTAGACGACAATATCCTACTTAGATAGTATACTGATGGTTCAAACAGATGTTTCCACTACGGAACACCCACACAGAGGTGCATTGAAAAACTAAAGTATCCATATGAACTATGCTGAATCCCCAAAATCAATTGTTCTTCTGACTCTTCAGATCTATCAACCCGTATGCCCCCTGCCTGTCCCTGGATATTTTCAACTCCTTCCTTCGACGGTTCCTTCGCTCACTTCTAGTTGATTTTTTCTTGCCACCTGTTTCTTCTTCACTTCTTAACTTGCCCTCCTCTGGCTTTCCAGAACTAGGGTGTTCCTCAGACCTGGATTCCTCGCCAGTCCTGACCTTCTTGCTCTTCTTTGATTTTGTCTTGGCATCTGCATCTTCTTGCTCACTTGTCACCTTGACTTCCTCTGCCGTTTCAGAACCAGGACAATCCTCAGACCTGGATCTCTTCCCAGTCTTGTGCTTCTTGCTTTTTGACTCAGTCTTGGCATCTGCATGTTCTTGCTCACTTGTCACCTTGACTTCCTCTGCCATTTCAGAACCAGGACCATCCTCGGACCTGGATCTCTTCCCAGTCTTGTGCTTCTTGCTTTTTGACTCAGTCTTACCATCTGTTTCTTCTTGTTCACTTGTTGGCTTATCTGTCTCTGGCCTCCCGGAACTAGGGCCCTCCCCAGACTTAGATTTCTTGTGAGATTTGACCTTTTTGCCTTCTATCTTCTGTCCTCCAAGGATCAAATCTTTGCTCAGCTTCTTATGATGAGTCACCTGCCATTCATCCTCCCTATATGGTGCTAGCTTCTTCATGGATACATATTGGTTCAGATCCCTGTCATCTGATTGCAGTATCTCATACATCTCCAGGCCAAAACTGTTTGGCTGAACTTGCCTATACTTGAACCGTGTCTTCAGATCTCCAATGGTGTCCTCGTAGTCTAGCTTATAATACTCATCAAGCTCCTTCTCAAGCTCCACCTTGTCCTTGAGAGAGATCTTCCCCTTCTTTTTCTCACCTTCCTCCTCACCATTTGCAAGCTCCTTATTTTTCTTCTTCTTTTTCTTCTTCTCACCAGTGGCAGTAGACCCTTCTTTACCATCAAGAGCCCAATCTTTGGGTAGCCCAAGCAATTCATCTTCCTTGTCAAAATCAGGTTTGACCAAATCTAAATCATCTCCACTTCCAAACCCAGGATCAACCTCATCAGCACCATAGTAGCTGTCATCGAACATCTCCTGCATTTTCCTGTCATAATCCTCTGGATCAAAATCTTCCTCCAAGTCATCTGCACCAAGCTTACAGGCAGCTTCCCCTTCAATTCCAGCAATCATCCGGATCTTCTCAAGCTTCTCAGCGATCTCTTTCTTCTTCAAATTCTTGAGATGCTTCAGCTCCTCTGCCTGCTCCTGCTTGGCTCGCGCAAGCCGTTCCTCTTTGCTCTTCCGCTGCTTCTTTCTGCTGCTCTCCTTCTTCCTCACAGACCCCTCAACAACCCGGGGATGTCCCATTACCCGATCAGTCACCACTCCCTCTGAAGCTTCCACCTCCTCATGCCGGAATTTATAATTCCCCAACTTATTATAAATATCCTCATAGTCCTCCTGAGTTTCGATCACATCCTCTTCCTGTGAGACCTCCTGGATATCATCCAGCGAGAACTTATCCGGCACTGGTTCAAGGTAGGGCCTATTGAGGATGTAATTCTTCAAAAACTTCTCATTTTCATCCAGCTTGTCATCATCCCCAAAAACCTCAACCAACAGCTCCTCGGTCTGCTTCTCGTCTTCGTCCTCTTCGCTGTCGCCGTCATCTCCTTCAGCCTGCTTCGCCTTGAACAGATCGTCCTCCTCGTCATCGCCATCCCCCAATGCCTTCTTCTCCGCCTCAAGGAACTCCTTCAGCCCCTCCCTCTGGAGCTCGTTGTAGGCAATCCGGTCGTACTTGCTGCCGCGGCCAGTCTGCGCGGCAAACTCGGGGCCCTCCTCGATCAGGTGCTGGGCGTTGACGTCCTTGAGGTACAGTGGCCGCTCCTTCTTGGCCTTCTTCCCCTCCTTGGGCTCCTTCTTGGCCTTCTTCCCCTCCTTGGGCTCCCCCTCGGCGTCGTCCTCGTCCTCCTCCGACGAGGAGGAGTACACCTTGGCGTCCTTGTCGAAGATGGCGCTGTCGCCGCTGCGGATGCGGCGGATGACCTGGAGCACGCGGCGGTCGACGCGGCGCGAGGCGGCGGCGACGGCCTCGTCCTCATCCGACTCGTCGTCGGAGTCGTCGTCGTCCTCGTCGTCGGGGTCGGCGACGACGCCCTTCTTCTTCTTCTCCTTGAGGCGCTGCATCGCCTCGCGCCGCTTGTTGTGCTCGTAGCGGCGGGCGTACCCCTCGTCGATCTGGATGTTCGAGTAGTCCTCGGCGGGGCCGTCCGAGTCGTCGTCGGAGCCCGCGAGGATGTCCAGCACCCTCCTCTCCCCCTCCCCCTCTCCACTCATCTCCTCCGGCGAGGATGGCGGCGGCGGCGGCGCTGCTCGTGCTAGGGTTTTTGCGAATGGAGACACCGCGTAGGGGGCTACGGATCAACCGTACCTATTTACGACCGAGCAGTCTGGCAACACGGGCCCACCTCGCCAGCTCAACGCCACGGCCCGTTGGGTTCATTCCCGGCCCATCAAGGCCCGGTCCAGCCCAATCCGTCGCGGCAGTCTCGTCCGCGCGGCCGCACCTATATAGCCCCTGCCGCTAAACCCTAGCGAGCCCTCCATTTGCGCCGCCGCCTCCCCCGAAGCCATCCGCATCCCCACGCTCGCTCGCCGCGGCCGCCCGACGCGATGGCTCCCACCAAGAAGGCGGTACGAACCCTAATCGATCCCCGCCCGCCGCTCCTCCCATTTCGGCTTGATTCGTTCTCCCGGTTGATTTGGTTCTTCTCTCGCCGTGTCTCTCTTTTCTGACGGATCTTCTCACTGTTTTCTCGATTGATGGATGCGCTCTGCAGAAGAAGAGCGGGGAGAACATCAACAACAAGCTGCAGCTGGTGATGAAGAGCGGCAAGTATACGCTCGGCTACAAGACCGTCCTCAAGACGCTGCGCAGCTCCAAGGGTATGGATGAATCGGCTCTCCGCTTTTTACGGCCTTTTTTATCTCACTGTTGATTGATTTGTCGTTGTGGCCGATCTGCTAGTTATTTTGTCCGCTGGATCCGAAGGGTGGGTGTAGTGCTATAACTTACGCTCGGGACTGTTAATTCCAGAGATGAGTGATTAGCTTTTGTAGAATGAATCCAATGGGCCGCGGTTAATATCTGTTTTGTGGCTGTCAATTGCTTGCTGTGCTTATTTGTGGGATAAGTTGAACTGTATGCATATTCTCTGCACGTGTGTTTTGATACCCACTGAAGTTTGTAGAGTTGAAACTTTTAGTTTGTAGAATGGGACTGAAGTTTACCTCATTGGCTTGCTTTTGCCGTGCCTTAGAGATGAATACAGCGCCCTAGAACAAGCCACCTCTTAGTTAAGACTTCTGCGAGACCTCTTTAATGTCTAGTGGACAATGGGAGGGTGAAATATTTCTGTTTGCTGATAGCAGTTTGTACCGTGTGTTGTGTGTCAGAAGGTGTTGTGTAGTTTTTACGGATTAATTTAGTTTGTAGAGTGGGACGCATTGTTGTTTGTACTGATCAAATATGTTTGTAGAATGGGACTGAAGTTTACCTCACTGGCTTGCTTGTGCCTTAGAGATGAATACAGCGCCCTAAAACAAGCCACCTCTTGAACTGAGACTTGTACAAGACCTCCTCAATGTCTGGTGGACACTGGGAGGATGAATATTTCTATTTGCTGATTGCAGTTTGCACTGCAGTTTAGCTCGTTGGCTTGCTTTTGGTGTTGTCTGAGACAATTGCATATTTGTTGGGCAGTTTTGAGTTTAAAACTGATACAGCAAGATGGGTTTTGCTTGCCATTTAGGGCATTCATACATAGTTTGTCTCCTTTTTTCATTCTACAATTTTATTCCAGTGGTTTCAGCTTTTGTAATGTTTTTTTTTTACTTTTTGTTTGTGTTAGAATATTGGATTGTAGAACGGGACTGAAATTTGGCTCCTTGGCATCTTTTGCTGCCATGGAGATGAATGCAGTGCCCTAGAATCATTTCAGCCTACCTGTTAAAGACTTCTCCAAGTTTCACTATCTGAGAAACAATGGGAGGATGAAATATTTTTTGTTATATGATGAAAATATTCTCTATTGTTCTATCAAACTAGTCCCATGGAATCACCTATGCCCCAGGATGGCATTGCTATATTTGTTGCACTCATAAGATTGCTGTAGTGTTCACCTGTTTACATGTGATTCTGAGTACTAATATGAGAATTTGTTGCAATATTCAGGGAAGCTGATAATCCTCGCAAACAACTGCCCGCCCCTGAGGAAGTCAGAGATTGAGTACTACGCTATGTTGGCGAAAATTAGCGTGCACCATTTCCATGGAAGTAAGATAATTTTGCTCTTTCAGACCCTTTTTTGTCTGATTGCTTGTCTTATGCACAAATAGTTGTCTGCGTGCTTAATTGTGCTAATAGTTTGCATTGTGTTTCAGACAATGTTGATCTTGGAACAGCCTGCGGCAAGTACTACCGGGTGTGCTGCCTCAGCATCCTTGACCCTGGTTCGTTGCCATTCAGATCACTTGCATTTGTTTCTACTTTCTCACTGTGATATCTGCTGACACTGGTTACATCCTTCAGGTGACTCGGACATCATCAGCACCACCACCACCACCCAGTGAAGAGAAGAGAAGAGAGCTCTCCACCTATTTTATTTAGTCGAGTTGTAGGGTCCTGTTGTGCTCTTGAAACCACTCTTGTAATCTTCGGTTTATGTACCTTTTTGCGACGCTGAGTTGGAGCTGTCATACAGATAATACTTCATATGGTTGTTCCGCTGGACATTCATGTGGTTTTGTTTTCATGATATCGTTGTTTCCATCTTACCCGTACTGTTGTTTGTCAAGCGTTGTGTGATCATACAAATCTAAGATTCGTTTCACCTGAATCATTTTCAAAATCTCCCCCAAATCCCTTGATTTTCCTAATTCTACATGCTAACTGAAACTGGGATTAAAACATAAGCTTTACAGATTTAGGTTCATCTGCCCACAGCCCTGCCCATTGATCTCACTCGACACAGCCCTGCCCGTTGATAACTCTTTCAAGAGATTCTAGTGCGGACTACGTTACACCTTGAAATAATATGCACTCCTGCGGTGCTAATTTGCTGATAATCCATATTGAAGCCTTTAAAGAATGCTTATCGAACATATAAAGGTCTACGCAGAACCAATGTTTTTCGTCCACGTCGGCTATGAATAGTGCAGCCAACAGTATAGGGAGCACGTTGCGCGCCGAGCAGCTAGTCGAACATATAAAGGTCGAAGGGGGTGCTACGCAGAACCAATGTTTTTCGTCCACGTCGGCTATGAATAGTGCAGCCAACAGTATAGGGAGCACGTTGCGCACCGAGCAGCTAGTCGAACATATAAAGGTCGAAGGGGGTGCTACGCAGAACCAATGTTTTTCGTCCACGTCGGCTATGAATAGTGCAGCCAAC